TAAAGTAAAGGAAAAAAGAAAAAATTGTATAATATCATTTATAAAAATATATAATTTAAATATCTATACATTTGTAGTAAATTTTATTTTAGATGGACTTTAATGATTAATATATAGAACTAGAACTAACTTAGTAAAACCGTCTGTTCGTAAGTATCTAAAAAAGATGTCAACAAATATTATTCACAAGACTTGGTGTTTGGAATTCCAGTCACCAGAATTGGTCGAAGAGCAAGATAGATGGATTAGACCGTACCACCGGTTTAATGGTGATGGGAGAGGGATGAGTGAAAGGTTAATGCATCGATTCAGTGTAAACGCAATTGGTTTTAGTGACCTTTATTTAAGGTTATGTTACATTGATTGTTGTTGTTACCGATCGTTATGAGAATTGTTGATTTCGTCGTGATTTAACGGTTGACCATTAACTGTAGAACGTCGTCCGGGAGTGCAAGGCAAAGACTGTGCTGGTTGTACTGGGTACGCATTATTGTTCTTAATAGAGGAGGGAATTGCAAGAGTCGCGAATCCATAGGCGCTTTTATCGGTGGTTATTTTTGGGGAGAGAATAGGAAGAGTCTCGAATCCATGGGCGCTTTTTTCGGCGATAGCACGTGTGGAGAGAATCGCAAGAGATGAATTTGTGGGTAATATCAAACAGTATCAGCTCCCTCTTCAGCGGTATGATCAGAATCAAGTTGCAGAAACCTGTTGGTGCTGAGCCGTAATAATAATAATAATAATAATAATAATAATATGTGTTACAAATAGTTTGCTGGAGATGCCAGTCTATGTCGTCACCCTCAACGCGGTCTGACTAGAGTCTCGTTGCAGAGGGTGCACCGATAGCTGGCTAGCAATAGATAATAAATAATGTAAACAAATAAGTATACCTTACACAGACGTGTAGAACTTTAACTGTTATGACTTACACTAATTTCACTTTGACTTATTCAACAAGACTTTTCTTCGTCGTCTGTTGCTCCTTATATATGATTACGTACATTTAGAGTGTGTAATTCTTGGAAATCCTGTCAAATTCTTGGAAAGTAAGGTTTAGTAGATTGGAGAATCTTCCTTTGTTAATATGCGTATACAGCATAAAGCTTAAATTCCATGGAGAATGTTCGTAGCGAATACTTCAAATATTACGCATTAATAATAAGTATAAATGTAATGGAATCATATTAAATAAAGCGATAAATTTTCATTGCTGGGTAGTTCAATCCTGAACATTCTACCCGCCATCATCACTCTAGATGATGATTCTTGTCGTTCTATTGGATGGGTAGCACTGCTAATTTGTGAACTGCCCTTACCATCGTGGTGGACAAAGTCTTTAATGTAACTATTCTGGTGAGACCGTCTCGACCTCACCAGTGAGTCACAATAACTCTTGCAAGTGGCCAGTTACAGAGAAATAATCGTTCGTCTGTGATGAGCACTAATTAAATTAGCCAACTTGGATATCATTCCATGGGTAGTGCCATTTTGAACTTGACAGTTGTTGATGCAAGTAGTTAGTCGACCACTGTGACCAGAGTCGTTGTACACGTTGCTTATCAGCTTCCAGCGGGTTGTTCCTGAAATTTACAATTTTTTATGAGATGGTTGTGGGATAGTAGTAAATGGGTTCTCGATTACGAATGTCCGGTAAGTGCTGAATGGTCTTTGGAGTTATCGCGCATTAATTCTAATGGCCTTGTATTCAGGATCGCGTCAATTTGGGCAAGCAGTGTGGTGATTTCTTCAAATGTCCTTTCTCGAATGGTGCGCCTTATGTGAAACTTGGCGGAGTTTACCACTGCTTCCCATTTTCCTCCCGCATGTGGCGTAGTTGATAGATTGAATTCCCATTGAGAGTAGTCTTTCAAGATGGTCTTAGCTGTCTGTTATTGTTCTTGGGAACCTTGTGTACAGTTTGTAGGATGCTTCTAAAAAATGTCGGAATGCCGCGATAAATCCATCTGTCGGAATTTTACTTCTCCCTGTCTAGAGTTTTATCGTTAAAGCGACTGGCATAGTCAACACCTGTGTTTGATAACAGTTTGATGGTTTACTCGAGACAGCGGTAATTGGTCCGTTAAATGTTGAGCATGGATTCCCTTTCTGTCATGCACATGTAATGCATCGTCGAGTCTGAGACTATTTTGAAGTTCGTCCGCCAAGGTCCAATACTGCTGTCGTTTGTATGCCAGGGTTAGTTGAGTATGCTGTCGAAAAATACAGGAGGGCCAAATATCTAAAGTTAGGTGTAAACTCTCAGATGGTTGATGGGGGGATTGCGGGCAAGTGGACAGGATAGTGCATGTATTCAATAATAAATAGTTTCGTTATTTATTATAGTTTATTGCAATAATTGCATTAGTTGTGTTATAATGAATTTTAGTTGATGTTTGAATGTCTTCGTTTCTTGAGTTTTGTATTGCTATTCCCACAGAGCAGTAATGTGCGTTGTATGTACAGGTAGAAGGTTGATAATCTTTCTGGTCTTCTATATATAATACACGTGGTGGTGGAATTATACACGTTGAAGAACAAGGTCGTAAGCCCCCGACTTCCTTGTATGGTCGCACGAGGCAGTAGCTTGATTTGCTTTGTTATTGGCTTATTGCTTACCCTGTAGGCTTTGCAGGTGTGCTCTTGGTGGCAGTTCATCTTGGTGGTAGTTACTGTTTTGTGTTTTGCTGGCTATACCTCGTATTATTTGCTGAATTTATCTCGAGCGGCTCCTTATAGGTTATGATTATGCTGTGCTCTGTGCACCACTGTTTTCTTGTTCCATTTTCATTTTCTTGCACTACTGTGAGTGTATGATTTATTTGCACTTATTCTAAATTGGATATGACCAGCCTTTGCCTCTTAATTCTTAGCCTTTACTATGTATGTCTACATCCTTGTTCTTTGGCGTTCTTTTTTGAGAAGAAGCCGGCAAGGCTTCTTTTGTGAGAAGAAGCTGTTGTGCTTTGACGGCGTCTTTCTTAAAAGCATTCTCGGCCACCGCGTGGTCTTTACGAATTGCCTCCTTCTTGGCTTTTCCAATCAGAGCGCCTCTTTCTTGGCGTTTCCAATTAGAGCGCCTCTTTCTAGGCGTCTCCAATCGTATTGATTCTTTCATTATTGGCGGCTCTAATCAGAGCGTTTCTTACTTGCATCCCCACCATCAGGGGAACTCTTTTGGCGCGTTCTTGCTTCACTATCCGAGTTACATGCAGTTGGGTTTGACAACAGCGTATGCGTTGCGCGCCGTATACTACAATGTTGCTTATATGACCCTTTTTCTAAATGTCAAGCAACGTGGTTTTTTGCTTGCATTTTTATGACTTGTTTTTCACAACTTTGAACGACATGTTTTTACCAGATGCTTAACGACTTGATTTGTTTTGGAACTCTAATAGCTAGTTTTCCAGATGTCCAATGACTTGAAAATATTCTTACAATTTCGAACAATAACATATTAAAGGATTTGTTATTTATTTGTGTAGCAGAATTGATGTGTGCCAAGAAATGAATCCAGAGTTCTTCTTAGACTTGGATAATTCTTTGGAAGAGGATTCTTGAATGATTGCGAGCGAGTTCCGATGACGTAACAAATACAACACGCTCTCGTAGCCTTGCACGTTTTATTTTCGTCCCTTGTATTCCTATCGAATTATTCTTCCAATATCTCTAATCTGCTATTGAATACATCCACGAAGGTGAATTCGTGTTTTTTCAGGGAAATTTGCTGAGAAGGCCTGAATCTTAGTCAATGGTAATGTGGCGAGAATTCATTCAAGATGTTGTTGAAAGGGTGAGTGCATCTTCTTGAGAACTCCATTGTAATCAATTTTATATTGTACAATTAGCAATACAATTTACATTTCTAGTTTTTTGACGGATTGATAGCGGTGAGGACAGCGCGATGATAGAACTGCCATTTTTTCTTAGAGAGAGACCGTCTTGAAAATTACTTCAATCCCAAACATATAAATATAATAAAATGTTCGTATAAATATATATTATATTAATATAACTATAGTGTATAAGTAAAAAATAAATATAAAAATGACTTCATTATGTTTTGAAAACTATTTTGGCAACCATCAAATGTATGCTAAAAACAAATTAACCTACATTTTAAAATAAAGTATTTTACTATAAAAATAATAATTATTTCGTTTTAATGTTACCTTACTAAAATAAATGAATCGCATATAAAAAGGTCAAATCAGCTAAATGAAACAACATGGTTGTACCCTATTTTATTATTTTCTAAATATTGAAATATTAAAAAATTAACGCTAGACAAGATAGGGTATGTAAGAATTAGATTAATAAATAAAATATACATGAAAAATATTCTATATTGTTTCATTTACACACATTTTGATTGACATTTATTTAATGTTCTACATTTGATTGACATATTTAATTGTTTATATAACAATACTCTGTATTTATATTCTTTTATAAAAAATTGTCAAAATTTTCAATTTGTTTGATTAATATAGAATGAAGATTGTTAATTTTGTAAGGTTTAAGGAAATGTTAATAATATATTGTATATAATTAATTTTTTATTATGAAAAATAATCATACAAGATAATTGTGATATTATTTATTAATAGTCATTAAAATATGTTTATTCATTGTAAACTAATATTTTGTCATATTCTTCATTCCTTAATAATAGATATTAAATAATTTGTATTGCATAAACCATATTACAAACTGTACTATTTACATAAGAATTTTCAATTTTAAAACATCAGTAATATATATTAAAAAATTGTTTTTCTATTATTTTATCATTTTAATATATGTAAACTGTTTAAAAATAATTATATATCATTAATAAAATTAATTTATATGTATAATATTAAAAGTATTAATATGTTTACATAACATTGCAAAACCGTACTTAATAAATTGAGAGATTGGATCATGATTTTATGATACTATCGCTAGCTTTGTTGATCTTATATCCGTTTAAAATTTTTTACTAATATTATTGACAGTATTTATAAACTTAAACATCGGTCTTAATTATTAATGTAAATTTTTATTATATTTTTTTGTCAAATGAATTCAAGTGATATGATAAATCAACATTAGTTGTTTTAAATTTTGATTCATCCACGCATGGAAAATACATTATAGATCACACGAATTTTCTAAAAATATAGGAGCACATATTTCCGCTTTTTTTTTTTTTTCGAGCGTATTTTGAGTTACATTAACCTTTTCAGGACTAATTAAATTTTCATTAAAATTTTTAATATGATTCATGTTTTCTGATAAATTTGGAAATTCTTCCGATGATTTAGAATCACAAAATTGTAAATTAAAACAGTTTGATGGTAAAGCGTCAAATTTTATTTCACAATGTGAAAACGTATCGTCATTATTTTGATCAATATCGATATCCAAATCAGATGCATCACCACGGTTTCGATATTTTGCTTGTCTTATTGCAGTAAGCCTCCCTCTAGCTTCTTCAAGTTCTTTTTCTATACGTAATACTTCTGATCTTGCATTAATTTCTTGTGCAATACCACCCACTATTCGTCGATTTAAGATAAGCGACCGTTCTTCTTCATGTTGTATTGCTTGTTGAGCAGCACGAACCAAATTATCTGTAGCTCGTTTTACAGCATTACCCGCGGCTTGTAAGCGTTTTGTACTTTCACTATCAAGATCAGCTTTTACTTTGCAAGCTACTAAAAGTTGTGCAGTACTACTGGCGACCTGTTTAGCACTGGAAATTAATTTTTCTTCGCTACTGAGTCCTTGAACTAATGTATTTGCAGATTCTACCAAACTATGTGTAGCTGCAGCTACCATTCTAGCTGCTGATATTAATCCTTCAGACCATTGCCCATCATCCGAACTCATTAAAGGAGTTCTTGAAACGATGCCAGAAGATATTAATTCTCTTTGAGCAGCACTTGCTGCTTTAATTAAAGCTGAAGTAGCTGCAGCTATTGATTTAGCTGCTTCTAAAATAATTTCGTCAAAGTTTAATTCTTCTTTTGTTTCCTAAAAATATAAAAATTAATTATTATATATTCAAATATTAAATGTATTAAATTACTTAATTCTGTAATGACGTATTTATTCTCATGAGTTTGCAAAACCTTTAAAAATTTATATAAACTATACATGGTTTTGCCACATTTATCATTAAAATTTAGAACTAAATTTATTTAAAAATTTATAATGACAATTTTTGCATTTGCTATATCTCTGAAAATTTTTAATGAAAATCTTGAGACATTTATATCAGAATCTTGCGGCAGTAAGAATGGTACATATAGATATAGGAAAATCAGGTAGTATGACTACATGAAATGGATACTGGTGTTTTGTCTTTCAACAAATGAATATTGTACAACAATATCAATTACAAGATCAGCAAACTATTAAATTACTTCAAATGAATATGTTTGTATTTTTATTATTGTTTGAAATTAACAAACAGGTAGTTATGTTTAATAATCAATGTCATTTTAATGACGCTGACAGATAATAGAAGTATGAATATAATTAACAAATTTTTAATTAATTGAATTTAATTTATAAAAGTTATGAAATAATATTGTATCAGATATCACAGAAGATGAAAGAATTACAAAAAAAGTTTTGTATTATTAATAATACGGAAGAATATTAAAAAAGGAATAATTACGAGTCAAATTATAATGTAAAATCAAGATAAAGAGAACTAAAAAAATATGATACTGATAAAATAAAATTAAGAAAAATATAGTTGAAACTTTTTATTGTCCATAATACAGATTGCCGATGAATGACAAAAAATATGAATACAAATTACACAAAAAATGAAAAAGGAATATATTAATTTTTCATTTGCAGAAATAAAAAAAAGACATGAAAATACAAAAACTATTAAAAATGAAAAAATGTATGTATTGGTAAGTGTAAATATTTTCTAAAAAAATTAATTAATATAAATTAAGAAAGTAAGAATAGAAAAACCGCTATTAGAAAGGTTACTCAGAAGGAAAAACAGAAAAATATTTTTGGCAACAAAAAAAATTGTGAAAAAGTAAATGTGTGTAAATAAATATAAAATAAAAGTAATATAATAAATAAAAAAGGGAACAAGCGATAATAAAAAAGGAATAATATATACTTATTAAACACTAATGGAAGATTCATAGGAGAATAGAGCAAGTTAAAGGTTTTTTTTCGACAAGCTGTATTAACGACTAGACAGCAACGTGTTCCGATTTTAATTTACTAAAATACTAACATCTGAAAAATAGGGGATTTGTTTATAAAAGCTAATATATAAAACTATGATTGAAATAAATAGAAAAAAAAACAGAACTTTAGATGACCTACATCGAAAGTACTTATTATAGAAATATAATAAAATTTAGATAGTAAATATAAAATGTTGTAAAATATTAATTCAATTTAATTTTCATTCTTTTGATGTATTTCCATTCGTAATCACGTAAGTCGACTATCGACCATGTTTTCTTCTCGATTCATTGTTATTTTTTGGTAGTTTATCAGTTTCCTCTTAATTAACGTTCAACATTTAGAACCAGAAAGCTTATTATGCAAGGTTAGAAGTTTTGCAATCCTTTATAATCATATTTTTTAATTAGTAAAATATATTAAAAAGATAAAGACTCAATAAAACAAGTCTTTAGTTTTCTTATCAAAGTCAACTGCGCAGTGTAACTGTCATAGTATCAAATTAATTTTACTTAATTTTGATGAGAGCAACACAATGAAGAAGGTATTAGATTTTTTCTATTACTTAACTAACTGTGTGATTACTTCAACTATAAAGTAATCACTTATCGCATTCACGGTATGCTCGTATAAAATTATTAAAAATATATTAATATAACTAAAATCACTAAACTCCCAGATAGTTGATGGGAGGATTGCGGACAAGTGGACAGGATAGTGCATGTATTCAATAATTAATACTTTCTTCATTTATTGGTATTTATTGATGTCATCCCGTTAAATTACACTATAATAATTCTAAGTGTTGATGATGAATTTTTATCTGTATTGCTTTTCCTTTATGGCTGCTACGTGGTGGTAATATGCAGTACATGTATAGGTAGGAGTGTGTAACTTCCCTGGTCCTCTTCGTGTTGTGCGCATAGTGGTGCAATTGTACACGTAGAACTGCGAGGTTGCACCACTGTTTTCTTGTTCCATTTTCATTTTCTTGCACTACTGTGAGTGTATGATTTATTTGCACTTATTCTAAATTGGATATGACCAGCCTTTGCCTCTTAATTCTTAGCCCTTACTATTTATGTCTACATCCTTGTTCTTTGGCGTTCTTTTTTGAGAAGAAGCCGGCAAGGCTTCTTTTGTGAGAAAAAGCTGCTGCGCTTTGACGGCGTCTTTCTTAAAAGCATTCTCGGCCACAGCGTCGTCTTTACGAATTGCCTCTTTCTTGGCGTTTCCAATCAGAGCGCCTCTTTCTTGACGTCTTCAATCGTATTGATTCTTTCATTATTGGCGGCTCTAATCAGAGCGCTTCTTACTTGCATCCCCACCATCAGGGGAACTCTTTTGGCGCGTTCTTGCTTCACTATCCGAGTCACATGCAGTTGGGTTTGACAACAGCCTATGCGTTGTGCGCCGTGTACTACATTGTTGCTTGTAATACCCTTTTTCCAAATGTCAAGCAACGTGGTTTTTTTCCTTATATTTTTATAACTTGTTTTTCAAGACTTTGAATTTTGCCAGGTGCTTAACGACTTGATTTTTCGAAACTCTAACAGCTAGTTTTCCAGATGTCAAATGACTTAGGAATATTCTTACAATTTCGAACAACTACATACCTTTCTATTACACCTTTTACATAACTACATACCTTTACATATAATTATGTGTATCTGATGGAAATCTAAGCATTGCAATATTTCTTAGACGGGTACGATAAATAAAATAAAAGTAAATATACATACAATGATCTGAATCAACAAGGATAAATTTCATCATAGAAATATTGAATAACCTCAAAATGGTATTACCAGAAATAAACTATTAACAATAAAAAAGATAATAGGCTTCTTATTACAATATGTAGAAGATAAAAAAAATTAGAAATAAACTGCTAACTATCTTATAAATTGCAAACTGTTGAGTAAAACTTAAACCAAATTAAAGTTTAAGCTTAAGCAAAAAAATAGAATTAAATTATCATTATTTTTATCCGTATTATTAATCATATTATCTAGAATATTCTAAATTTTAAATAGATGTAAATTATAAACTTACCAGCAATATTTTATAAATACTAATTGAAGAAGAGACTAGTTACTATAATAATATGTTTGACTCCTGGTTGATTAAAATTCAACAACCAAGAATATCAAACATATCTTATAGTAATCTAATAAAAAGCTTTTTCTATGAAGTTTTAGTAATATTTTATACATATATATATAATAATTATTATTACCTGAATATTTTTACGAGGACGAAGATTAGCTAATTTTTTGGAAGCTGCATCTATACTAGCTGCAGCTCCTAATAATTCATTTTCAGCAATGACTGCTAAATCATCTGGATCAACCCATTTATTTCCTTTTAAAATTTCAGTAACCGCTATAAGCTCAGTAACATTTTGTGATATTTTACGAGAAACTGGTAAAAGCAAATGCTTACATTCACTTGATTTTGTTGTTATTTGAAGTATTACTTGTAGTAATTCTCTATAATTAATAGCTATATCCTGGCCTGCTTTGATTATACGTTCTTTCATATCTTCAGTTTTTGCATAATTCCATCTAACGGCTTTACAAATTAAAAGCATATCACTGATTGACTTTCTGCCCATATTAGCAGCAGCAATTATGTCATGTTGCTTACAGCTATTTGCAGCAGCTACAGACTTTGCTGTAGATGTAGTTATATTTTTAGTGCATCTTATAAGATCATCCAATGTTGTGTTATTTTTTATGTTTTCTGATGAATTTAATGTTCTAATTTCTTGAGCAATTGCTTCAATAGTTGATTCTAATGCCCGTGTGCCACGTGCATGCTCATCTTCAACTGCTTTTACAGTTTTTAACAATGATGTGACGTTAGTAACCATTACCTACAAAAAATGTTTGAAATATGTAAATAAGTAGATACTGCTGTATATATACTTCATATACTTTTAAATGGAATAATTTACTAAAAATAAATTTTGGTTTAAATTATATCTTCAAAATAATATAATTTGTCTTTAAAATAATTAATTTATATTCATATAATATAATTTATCTTCGAAATATACATTATAAATTTAAATATGGAAATCGTAGTAAGAAAATTTAGCAGACTAAGACATTAAAAAAATTCTTTACCGAAAATTTATATAAGGTATTTTCATAAATTAAAATTCTATTTTAAAATAACATAACGTATAAAGTTTTCAATTTTTTAATTAAATACCTGTCAAATATGTGCAATTATTTTGATTATTAATATATTTAAGCAAGATATTTGACCTGTATTAACTTTGTTACATTAAATTTTTTATACTAAGGTGTTTTTGTCAATTTCATTGCACTTCCATCAGAATTATTACCAAATTAAAAAAAATATTTCTCTCGAAGTAGAAATCAAGATATTTAATATCCGACTGAAATTTGTAAAAAATTGCATACATACAGTATTTCAAGATTCAACAATACTATCACTCTTTCAACTATTTAAAATTCTGATATATCTATAAATAATGTATTTTATTAAAAGGAAATATTGCAATATTTATATGAATTTATTTAATAATTATTGTTGCCATTTTTAAACATTCATTTTAAATACAATGTATTGCATGATAACCCAGCAAATATTATAAAAGTGTTAGAAATAGTTTTCATAATAACTAGTGAATATAAAATAATATTCTATTGATTAATATTCTTATTATATTCTCATTAATTTTATTTAAAAATATTAATATTCTTCATATATATATATAGATATACAGTAACATAAATTATCTTTTATATTTAAAATAAATACTATATACGACTTTTGATTTTTAATTACATATAATATATTGTTCAATATATGAAATAAGTTGTAAAAGCATTTATTTTTAAAAATGTTATAAAATTATTTGTGTAACGTATTCATAAATATACTTATAGAAAATGACATGCATCATTTAGATACGAAGAAAATTAGATTTTCCATATTATTCATATTTTTAATAACAAAAATTAATAGTATTTAATATTTTTTATTTTTATAGTAAAAATGAGATATCATAATAAACTATAAAATTATTGTAACAGTAATCAAAGCGAATATTATTACTTGCAATAAGAACAGATTTCGAACGAAATATTTTTATTCAAATATTTAGAATTTGAAGTAATCGTGACTCCTTTTTTATTACATTGACAATAACTCATGTGTAATATATAATGCATGAAATTAAATTAAATTGTCAAAGAAATAGATAATCAATAAATGATTAATTCCAAAATTCATTTTTTGATGTTTTCATCGAAATATTTAAATAAATTTTTTTATTTATTTTACCGTAGACGTCAATATTATTAAAATATTATCAATGATATATGAGAAAAAATATTATTGTAATTTCTTTCCTCTATTCCCTTCTCTAGATTATATTATTTTAACAATAGTACTATGAATTATTCAGATAAGTAATTTATTTAAATTTTATTATAGTTTATGTTAAATGTCTTTTCTTATATACATTATTACGTGACCATAAAAAAAATTAAAAATTAAAAGAACTATATTTCGTGCTTAGAACATTTTTTTTAATTCTATATAAAATTTTTTGTATAATTAATAAAATACAACTATGTAACAAATGATTTTTATTAATTATGAATTCATTTTAGTCTAACAAGATTCTTTTACATTCACATGGTTTAAATTTTTTTAGAGTCGATCTGAATATTTATTCAATTTTTTTAATAAATAAAATACAAAAATAAGATGATAAAAATACTATTGTAAATTATTATTAATGTAATTTATATATGTTGTATTTTTCCTAATGAAAAATAATTTTTAGTAATTTTATATACATAGAACGAGGTTTTATTCGAGAAGAACTTTAATGTTAGGAGTAATAATATAAGGAGCTAATAAAAGGACTAATAATGTTTTAAAATAAGTTATTCATTATTAAATTATATTTATATTGAAAATCTCAGTCACTGAAGACTTTTTTAAAAAGTTAAGGTGAACAATTGTACTACCTAAAAATTATAAACATTTCTATAGAACAAAGCGATAAAAACACTCGAGTTATGTGATAAAAGTAATTTTATCAATAGTAAGTAATAATATCAGTAAAGTAAAAATCACTTTACCATTTGTGTGCTATAAAAATTATTTAATTTTAGTATCTATAGTTTATAAGCTATAGTTTCATTAAAATGGTTAATATGTTTTTAAAATTAGAAAAAAATAAATGAAAATGAATTTTGGAATTGAGCTTTAATCTGACAATTTTATTAGAATTATAATTTTGAGAAAATAGAGCTAGTTTATTATTAAATTAAAATGGATATGATGAGCGATCGAAATACAACTTAATATAACTCATCATTTACATACCATTATATAGCTAAAAAATATTAATATAAATAACATTAACCATAACACACTATATTAATATATTTGGAATTAAAATCAGCTCATTATTAATGTCAGCAGTAGTTTTCACGTAAGTTAAATAAGTTAAAATAGATATATAAAATTTAAAATTCGAGAAAATATTAAAAATAAATTACAAATTGAATCGATATTTGTATATAATTAAAAGTAGTTAAGTACATTATTTTATCGAAAAATAAAAATATCAATTCACACAATACAAGAGACCGACTACTGAAATTCTTATACATCACCCAATGCTGCAATATTTTTATGTTGTCTACATATCCATAGTTGAATATCCTATTCTATAAAATAAAAAGAAAAAAAACTTTTGAAATCTCCCGTAAAATTAATCAAAGTTTGTATCCGAGACAGACTAAGTGAATACGTGACTGTTGCTCTGAAATAAAAATATACTTTTTCAATTTTTTACCTTAATTGTCAAATTAATAATTCTCTCCAAGTTCGTTAGAAAATATTTTCAACTGTAATCTATTATATTAGTTTGCCTAAATATATACAATTATTTGCATTATATTTAAGTATATTTAATCTTTGAATATAATGTAATTTTATATATTTTTAGATGAACTATTATATAAAATTATGATTCATTGTTCTTATAAATAATAAAAGGTATAATCGTATTAAATAAAATTTTAACTATTTAATATATATAATACATATAAAAGCAGTAAAAAAATTTTAATTTTAGATACATTTTAAAAGTACAGAGAAAATGGTTACTAAAATATTGGCATCAATTTCAACTTCTTTAATTATTTTTTTATAAGAAATTTGTATTATAAATAATATCAAATTTTTAATGTACTATACACATACCATAACACAATGCTTATCAAATTTTCAAATATTTACCGTTGCAATCTGAAGTATCCAAGAGTTAATTCCAAGAAAATGGAATTAAAATGTGTTTTGGTGTACTTTACTTAAGAATCATATTTTATATTATATTTATTATTTTTACTTCAATACCTTTTTATTTATATATACCAAGTTATTAATAAATTATTACTCGTTATTCATGTACTTATTATATTAACATTAAATCTTTCACAAACTTATAATGTAAGAAAATATAAACAAAATACCAAATAAGTGAAATAGAATAGAGTGCAAAGGAACAATTATTAGTTCGTACAAAAATTTGCGTGTTTTTGTAATTTTATCATTGTTTTATTTAATAAAGGATTCATTTTCATGAGAAGTAACAAGAAAAATAAAAAAGGAAAAAAATTAATGAAAAAATAATTACAGAGATTTTATAAATTAAATTAAAATTAATTTCCTACTTCATTACTGTTACAAAATGCAAACTATCTATTGCATAAGATGGACAGTTCAATAATAATATTAGACAATTTTTGTATTAACATTTTTTTATTTAATATTATTTGATAAAATATTAATATATTACTAAAAATAATCAATGGCTAAATATTATTGTAAGTAAATAAATAACACACGTATCACACGTGTTTCAATTTTTCCATAAATTCATATTTTCTTTCAAATATTAAAATCTGTAGTTTCAAATTATAATCTCACCTACATAATAAAAAAAGCTATTAAATATGTATTTTTATTTTGCATATTTGTTTTATTATTACAACTTTTTTTTAATTGTTAATATATTGATGAAACTTAGTAAGATAGATGCATGTGAGGTAGGAAAAAACAATAATCTTTAAATATATGTTAGAATATATCTAAAGCTTGTATGTATTTGTAATATTAATTTTTATTATTAATATATAGTAGTATTCATAGTGGTTTGTTTTTATAAATATTAATTACATTTCATTAGTATGTAACCAAATGCTTTTTAGTTTGTTTCACGTGACGTTATTTAATTGAAAATATAATGTCAGTTTATATAAGTATATATATACGTATATTGTATATATTTTTTAAAAATACTTGAATTTTTTAATAACTAATCTTATTAGATTTTAACTATTTTTTTAATACCCTCTGTAGCTGTTAAATAATGTTGACAAATCATAATGGCAAGGCTATGGTAGATGATTTATAATTAATTTATACAATGTAATAAATAGTTGATGTAATCTCAAGAATACAATTATGGCGTAAGAATCTGTACTGTAAATTTTTGATATGCAAATTGACAATATATTTCGTATATGTGATGTAGTAATATTAAGATATGAAAACTGCTATTAATTTATAAATTTTCTAAATCAGTCACGAAAAATTAAATAGAAAACTAAACGGCTACAATTCGAATGAAGTTTTTATAAAATAAGTATTAAATAAGTAGTCTTATTTCATCTATAATATTTTTGAATGGTTAATAATAGTACTCTGAAAATTACGATTTCAAATTAAAGGGAATAAATTTTTTTAATAAATCTATAAAACAATGTGATATTATAAAAAGAAGGCAGTGCAAAATAAATAATTGACAAAAATATATTTCAGCATTTCATAAATGTTTCGTACTTTAAAATTATACAGTTAGCTTTCAATTATTATTATTATTCATCTTTAACCATTAGATAAGTGCTAGCTAATGCTATATGGTTATTCATTTCATATGTTATTATGACTAATAAATTTTTGTTGTTGAGATATTTAAGTCTTATTTAATTCTCATGAATTATTATGTCAAAAATATTTAAAAGTTATAACTGCACAGTGATTAGAGATTTACTATACAACTTCATGTAAATATTAATGAAATTATATTTATTTTCTTGAAAAAATTAATAGTTTCTATAAACAGTTTATAGTTAACACAATATATATATTTATATATATATATATAAATGATGAGCCAAACTTACTATAGATGTACTTTTTACATTCATTTTTAGTTTGAATTTTTATTTGTAAAATCTAAGACATAATATTATCATAAAGGAATTATGATTGCATCAGTTTAATGTATTTTTGGTAAAATTATCAACTGACAGTTTGCATATTTGTTATATTACATATTTGTAATATTGATTAATTTTGTCTAAATTTTATAATTCATTTTTATAAATATGTTAAGTAATAAGTAATCTCGTATTATTAAAAGTTATTAATGTTTATGATAAAAATACAAAAAAAATTCGATTGTTGGAAAATATATATTTAAATTGATAAATGATTGCATGTTATTTTTAAACAGATGATTTTCCTCATAATATAAAATGTTTTTATATTTTTTCGAATTTAACATGATTATATGTATTACATAATAAGCTTTACAAAATATGAATAATCTCAAATTCTATATTTTATCGTTGTAGTCGATTTTAGATAATAGTATCAAGTTAATCAACTAAATAAAAGTTTAATTTTTTTTCATTGTCAATCATTTTAAATAGCTAAAATATTTTGTATATTAAGGTATTTAAAAATTGTACGCAGAAATAACAAAGTCATTTGATTTCATTCTATAAAAAATAGAAAATAATAATTTTAATTACCTTTGCCGAATCTTTAAGATGTGCCATACTAGGATCGTTTATGAGTTTTCCACTAGCAGCTTTAGTAGCATGTATAAGATCTCCAAGAGCTGAAGCAACATCTCTCACAGCATTTATTAACATTACTTGTGCTTCTGGATTATTGCTTCCGAGACTTGCTGCTCCATATTTGACAACATCAGCTAGTTGAAGAATAGTTGATACAGCATTTTGAGCAGCCACAGCTAATTGTTCTTGCGAAGATGCAGCTCCAGCAACTAGAGTTTTAGTATCTTCTACTAGTGCCTTAGCTGTTTTGAGAATATTTTCCCTATGATCAGCAAATGTTTCACTTTCATTATCTGCATGTAAAGTACCAGCCGTAGCAAACATTATTGTAGTATCAAGATCTCCTATAATTCCTGAAACAGTACTAGCAGCATTTATACATGCTTGTGTTCCACGCAGTCCAGCTTGTAGAGTAGCTAGTATTTGGGATACTTTTTCACTAATGCATTTACTACAGTCAGATACTTCTTGTTGTACATAAATATCATTTGATATCATTTGTCGATTTCCAGCAGTTCCAATAATATCTGTACATGTTTTTCCTAATTCTTGAACTTCAATACGCAGTTTTGATGATACAGCTGAATTTGAAGTAGCAATTGATGCACTATATGTATCTTTAGCTAGTTGAATATACTTATGAGAAATATCCACCAAAACAGGTCCCAATATTCCCGTATCCATTGCTTTGCTCGACTATAAAAAAATGTATTTATGCAAAATATTACAATCCAGATATTTTATAACATTAATTAATATCATACGTTTTCTTTTAATATTTATTTCTACTTTTAAAAAATCATAACAATCCTCATTTAATTTTATATGTATTTACTTTTTAAAATATAAAAAAAAATGAAATTAAATACATACAATTATAAGATACACATACATACCGAAGTAAATAGAAAACGATTTTCTATTTAATTTAGAAATCTATTTGTAAGTAGTTTCTAAAAATAAAGTTTATTTTACTTAAAATTTTATTAAATTTCATTTTATTTAAAATATAAAAAGAAATAATTTTTCTATTTTTAATTTATTCAATGCAATCGTATAAACTAATTTACAGAAAGTTCTCGTACTTACAATTTCTTGTGCTAAATGTGCTATTTCCTTGACAGCGTCAATCATTCTTGATTGATAATCAACAAATGAATCACAATTCTCTATTGTTGAAATTCTGTCATCGTCCAGTTTTACCATCGCTCGAGTAATAGTCTCGATTAATCCGGTTACAATACCCTTTGACGATGAAATTGTTTCTAGTGTATTTTTTAATTCTTGAAGTGATTCTTTAGTTGACTCTATACTTTCGTCTACATCATTATGAAGATTTTTTGCTTTTGGATTACCACCCGATTCCTTTGTTACATATATAAATTGTAAAATCGATTCAGCGATAGTTTTCGTTTGATCTAATAACATCATTTGCTGTTTGGACTGTATCATATATGAAGCCGAGCCTATTCCACTATAAACCAATGCTTCACAGTACAATACAACTTGTGTTACAGCATGCCCAATATTTTCAGCTTCGGATTTAGCAGCATTCCGTAAGAATTCTAATTTATCATGTAATTCACAAATCGTATTAGCCATTTGATCAATAAAACCCTGACTTGTATTTTCTTTTCGTGGTAGAAATGTTTGAGAAACTGCATTCAATGATGCTGTATCAAGATCTCGAATTTGTAAAGTGATTTGTTGTATACCTAAATCACATTCTATTTGACCAGGTGCTTTATCACGTATTGAAGCTACTAAAGCTTTGATTGAATCACTAACATTTTTACTATGATTTGCTAATAATTGCCATGTTGGAGGATCTTTAGGTGTTACTGCAAGGCTTTTTGCAGCAAGTAACATTGCATATGAACCATTAATGATAGATTTACTTGCAGTTATTATTGGTTCTTGGGTACCTTTAGCAGTTGTTGAAATTTTAGCAGGTTGACTAAGAAACTCTGGTGAGCTTGCAAATGTACATAAATTATCAACAGCTTCTAATAATGGTTTTGTAGCATCTATACAACTTTCTCTATTTGTTTCTGAATAATTTATATCCAGAGCTTTAATTTGCTTAACTAAAATAGCTGTACAATTAGCGACATCCTTAGCGGATTGAACAAAGTGCCGTTTAGCAATAGGGTTATTAGTTTTATTAGATGCTAAACGACAAGCATTGCACAAAGTACTAGTATGTTTTGCAATTACAGTAGCAGCAGATAGGACTTGTTGCTGGGATGAATTAGGATTTCCTAGATTATGACAACTTGAATTGATGGACTGTGCTGCTCGAAAAAATTGAGCTTGATCTACTAATCCTGGTTTACCAGCAACTGATGTAGGATCACTAGCACCAGCTAAGTATGCAGCTTGAGCAGCTGCTTCAATTAAACCACATATCGATGTTGAAACTCCTTTGATTGCCATTGAAAAGTGTTGATGTTCTGATTTTTTAGCATGATTAGCAATGCCAGTCATTCCATCTCCTAAGCTTTTACTTTTTTCCATGATAATTTCAAGACAATCAAAATAGGAAGCGTCTGAAATCGATTCATTTGGATTATCTAATAATGGAAGCATTGACTGAATTGTTCGTATAGAATTATCACATTCTGTTTGTCCAGGAGCATTACATGTACATAAATCAAGAAGATAATTTATTGAATCGGTTACCGCGCGTCCGGCAGTAGAAAGTTGATTTTTTGCATTAGGAGCAGTCGGATCTATAGCTACAGATTTTGATGAATATAAAAATTTAATACAGCTAAGACAAATATGATTGAGTGATACAACAACTTGTGATTTCATTTCTGTTATTGTCTGACCAACTATTTTCATACCAGTTTCAATTAAATCATTTAAGGTTCCCGTAAATTTTTTAGATAAAATTGCTAATTCTACTGGTGATCGAATGGACGATAAAATTTGTAAAGATGCGTCATTTAAATTGGTAGCGAAGCAAATTATATCAGTTTGTAATTGACTATGCAAAAAATAAACATACATTATTACAATATATAAACATATAACTATACAAATTTTTTTAAATTTATACATTCTATAAAAAAGAGAGATGATAATGTATCTGTATATAAATATATAAATTTGAGAATTTAAACATTCAATCATTTGTGTATGTTTGTATATACTTATTATTTTTCTTATTATTCAAGATTTAACTGTATAACATTTATTATCTTATATTGAACCAAAAATACGTATTTTAAAATTAAAATTTTTGTATATATTCTTTTATATAAAATTATTAATAGAAAAATATGGAAGTTCGTAAAATGCGCTAGTTATTTGTTTTAAATTAAAAATTAATATTTACGTAATATATATATTTAAAGCATTTCTTTATGAAATGATGTACAATAATTCTGTTCAATTCACAAATACGTTTTGTAAGATTCATTAAATTAACTCTAATTATTGTTATATACGGATTAGAATGATTTATTATAATACTTTATTAATTTAGTTATAATTAATTTAATTATAACGTAATGATTAAGAAATTTTTTATACATCTTTGTCCTTTTGATACTTAAAAAAATATTTTTTTTTATTTTTATATTAAAAGGAATTACAGGAATATATTACATTCAAACAGTACATGTTTTAAACATTTCGAAAAAATTTTAATTGCTAAATTTAGAGTGATATTTAGTAAACAAATTTCTATTCCTATTAATAGTATTCGATCATTTTAATTTTAATAAAAATCTTCATAAATGTGAACTTGCATTACAGTTTATGAATTGTGTAACTTAAGAAATAAGTAATAGAAAACTTTTATCGATTTATAAAATGGCATATTAAATTGGAAACTTCGAAAATAATTTTATTTTTAATAAACATAATATGAATGTATTGATATTTTAGAAACATTGGTTTAAATATTAAATATTTTTATTCACAAATTATTCACAAAAATAAATTCAAGTATATAAAATAATGAAATGAAAATTATAATATAATTTGCAAACCTACCTATAATTTTTTGTTGTAGTTGGAAATTCATTTGATTTTAAAATTTTACTGATACTTTCTATATTGTGTATTGCTTCATCAACATCTTTCTGACCAGGTAAAAAAGAAATACATTGATTTAAAGTATATCCTACTTCTTTAGCAATAAATGCTAATTTTTTTTCATTATCTGGATTATTAGGTTTTGTAAGAGTCCAACGAGTTTCTTTAATCAGCTTTATAGATTTATTAATAACGTCATCAGCTGTCATTAGAACTTTTTGTTGTGTGCCTTGTTCAATTATTGTTGCAGCAACCCCTCTTATAGCTGATATTAAATTTTTTAAAGCTGCTGAAGTTTCTCTGGCAGCAGTTCCGGTATAGTCCATATTTCCTTGTTTAGCAGCAGAGAGAAGTTGAGCTATAGCAAATCCTACATTTTTTGAAACAGCACCAAGTTTTAATGACATTATTTCTGCCGTTTCACCCGGTAAAGGTTTTAATGATGATGCTTCGGTTGTTTTACATAACTCTTTTAGTTCCGTTTTTAAATTATAAAGGATCTCTTCAGCAGAAATAAATTCTAATCCATTACAAGACTCTTTTGCACGATTCACAACAACTTTTAAATTCGTTAATGCCAAGCAAAGATGTTGTGAAGCATTGTTTAACTGTAATGCAGAAGCTTGATCACTGATAGTAGGCAAAGCAGCTTTAGCGGCTTTAACTACAATTAAACCCGGTTGTAAAAATTGCTCTACAGCATTAATAAGATTTAACTGCATGGTAGAATTATCAGGTTGTGCTATAGTTCCTTTTATTCCTGATACTAAATTAGGAATATGTTGAACAATGGACTGGCATTGAATATGTAATTCTGTTTGTGTGGCATGATTGATATTATGTAAAGTTACTCCCGAACATGCAGCTATACATTGTGTTGCCGAAGATGCAGCATGTTTAGCACATTTTTCCAATTTTCGTATTAAATTTTGTCGAAGACTGTGATTAGTTGATACTGTAGTAATTTCTCTCAGTTCTTCAACAGCTTGACGTAGTTTATCTTGCATTTTAGCGTCTCGAGGACTACTAGCACATCTCCTAGCTGCTTCTACCTGTAAAGCATATTTTAACACAAATTGTTATTTATATAAAATAAAAAATTGAAGATTAGGGACCACACACTTCTTTAAAATGATCAAAATTTAATAAGCGTATAATATACTTTACTTTTTAAATTATAGTATTAATAATAGATATTTTTTAACAATACTATGTAGTGTACAGACTTGATGTAACTAACTTTTATTCAAAATCATCTTAAAACAATTGTTATACTATTAATTAAATTTATTACTGTATAAAAAATAAGATTTTAATATTTTTACATTTATTTATAATAAAAACGAACAAAATTTCTTTTGTTTTAATAAAAATTCTAATATTGATTTAAAATATATTTTTTCAAATAAATTTAATAGTTTACAAACGATTCTGTAACATGGAAAGTTTATTTTAGAGCTCATTACTTTTTTTTTTTTAATGAAAATAAAAATGATTACATACACTTTAAACAATATAACAACAAAACAAAACAACAAAGTGTTTATAAACATTTTTCGTAACTGTTTAGTTAAATTAAAAAACAAATTTACAATGTCTTCAGAAAACCCAAAATTTATATAATATAAAATAATTTAAGAATTCCTATTTCTTTCTATTAAATATAAGTAACTTGACATTATGTGAAAATATAATTAAATAAATAGATAATATATATTAATTTTTAGATGATTCAGTTAAATAACACCACTTAATAAATCAAATACAAACCATTTTTGCAGTTGCTTCTGCTAAAATTTTAGCAGCAGCTAATAGTTTTCTTTGTTGATCAGAATCTGTTTGCTTTTCTGCATCTCCTTTAATAGTTTGAATCAACTGTGCTGTTGCTTGTCCTACAATTCTTGCTTGGTGAACCATTTCTCCAGCATCACCTGAACTTGCAAAAAGTTTATCAGTAGCCATAAATATGGTTTCAACGGCTCCTTCTTGCAGACAGTCTTTTATTTTCTCATCGTGCGTGGATAATTTAATATGAATTAGAAGATCATTAAGTGTTTTTGTAACATCTGCAGCAGCTACGCTTAATGCTTTTAAAAGGTTTTCATCTGTACAAGTGTTATTGCAAATCTATAATTCATAAATATTATATTTATTACACTTTATGAATAGAATTGATAGTTTTTGTCTTGCATTTAAAATTGATTAAAAATTTGCTAAGCTTGCTATTACTATTCTATTATATCTTAATGATAAAATAATATTAAATATATGTATTATACGTATAAATGGTCGTAAATGTTCATGTATTGCAAATTATAGTAACAAGGTTCTAAAACTAATTTATAATAAAAATTATTTCACTTTTTGTAATAAATATTACTTTAAGATTCCACAATACGAATATAAATTGTTTGACTTGTGATTAAATACTTAAAATATTTTATTCCAAGTTTTTGCTGCTGATTCGAATAACTTAAATTACCTATTCCAATGTGACATTTCAATAGGATTGAAAAAAGATAAAAATTTATAACATAATATTGCAATTATATACTCTACTACCTATATTCGTAAAATCTTATCTTACAATTGATATTATTTTTCAGAATTACTTAAATATTTTGTGAACCAAAATATGTAGCAAACAATTCGTACGTTTATCTATGTTACCAATAATATTATTAACTACTATCTAATAAGACAGTATACTTTATTGATAAAGAAATTAAGTTGTTAATGCCTTTGATTGTTTTAAGTTAGAAATCGAAAATCTTGCTTTCTATTCATATATTTATTAATTTTACTTTTTATATTACACAATAGATATTATACTTATTATTCGATCAATTATAACTAAATGTTATTTTTACTATTTAATTACGTAGATATTAGGACTTATTTTTTCGAATGATTTTACACGTGTAATTAATTATGAATAATAGGTACTATTAGTCAGAGTAGTGTAATTAAATAGCAATTGCAAATAACCAATGCATTTATTACACTTAACATCAATGCCATGAATTGGAATATATCATTACTAATTATACTTTTTCTACTTATTTACTACTTATATATACTCTAATTATCAATTATATCAAACTTCATTAAGTAACATTATTAATCATAATAATTGGAAATTTTTAATATTTTTAAACAATAAAACACATTTGTATTTTATGAACTTCCACTCGTCACGCTTCTTGTCTTTGGACATAGATTTCTCTCCAATAGTTTAAGTTAAGATAACCGATATTTAAAAAACTTTATTTTCAGACATAATAGCAGAATATAATATAAAATATTGTTTTCTGTTATCAACATTGTGTATATTGATAGATATTATATTTTCCTTCATTTTACTAGATATAAGTTATCAAATAATTTCTTTGCAACTTTCTACTAAAAAGAATATATTCGTGTTGAAATTAATTAACTTTTAGTTGGAATAATAATTAATAATGATGAGATAATTAATTAGAAAACATATTTATGCAACATCACAAAAATAAATTTTAATGCGACTCATGACGATAAGTAAATTAGCACTGTTTTAAATGATACCATATTCTTTATCTTTTTTCATTTCTGTACGCTAGTTTTTTTATGTTTCACTTATCGTACTATTGTAAATGAAATTAATCATACGTGACTATTCTCCAACTATTAAAAAAAATAAAAAGTTAGGAAATCAAGTACCAAAGGTAATTAAATTCCGAAATCATTTAATTTTATAATCAACAACGAACCATTAAAATGTTAGGCACCAATTTTATATTGAAAATTTTTTATAAATACAAAAATATCAACATAACTTACACAACTAACAATATACATTATAATTTTATATCTTCTTTTATACTTTCGATTTTTGTTTTAGTTTTAATTTCATTTTCTAACTCTATGTTCAATAGATTTATATATGGAAGAAAACTTGAAAAAATACTTCACATTTCATTAAATTTTGAAGTTTGTTTGAAATAAAATTTTTTAAATTGATTCAATAATATTAAAAAAATGTTTTTTAATAATTAATATATGAGGATATACATATAACTTTAATATTTAAATATACATAGAATTATCTTAAACTCTATAAATGCAATAAAAAATGTCGAATTACATATGAATAAGCCTTAAATTTATTTAATTTAAATAAATTTATTTTCAATATTTTTTATATACCGATATTATTTGATTTCCTTATATTAAATATAATCTTGTTAAAATGAAGTAACTAAACAGCTAATCGTTATACTAATTAACATCTGCCATTTACAAGTCAATACTTTTTTATAATTTCAAATAAAGCGTTTGCAATGTATTAAAACCAACCAATTTACGAAATTTAATTTTTATAAATTTTAACTTCTGCAGCAATTTCAAAGTATTATACGAGTTTATATTATTATTATGATTATTGTTCATATATATGTATATGTAGATAGTTTCAAATTTAAATAAATTTTTCATAAAATATAAATGATTTTTATTAAGTAATTTTTAAATTACACATTTAAAAGGAAAACATGTTTATTACCTTAACAAGATTTTCAACGGTTTTTGTGACTTCTCGAACAGCGTTCATTAATTGATTTTGACATGCTGAAGAATTTATAGTTGGAGCAACAACTTTAGTACAGGCAACTAATTGAGAGGTTGCAAGAGCACAATGTGTTGCAGCTGCAATAACTTGGTTTTGAGTATCCATGTCTTCACAAATACCAGCTATTCCTTTTGCTTTTAAAACAAGAGCAGCGGTCGTATTTGCAACAGCTTTTGCTAATGCTAGAAGAATATCTTGAAGTTCTCGACTTGCGTCATCATCTTCTCCAATTGTTGTAAGTACATTATGAGAAGCTTCACCAACTCGAGATGCAGCATTTAGTAAGTTTTGTCGTGGCTAAAAACAAAGAATTTAGAAATTTCAATACTATGTTATTTGTACATGTATTTATAGAAATTCGTAATGATTTTCATTAGAGATTCAACATATTTAAAATCATTGTATAATACAATAACATTTTATTTATAAACTATCTCTATCATATTAATAATAAAATAGATATATTTATAATGGAGAGAAATAACAATATTGATTAATTACTCGTTTTTCTTGTGCAAAAAAATGATTCTCGTTTGTAATTAAATCATTTACTTTTTGATAATCTTTCAGTCGCTATTTGTATCATACATTAAATAATATCTACAAGAACTTTTTCTGATTAAATTTAAATTATATCATTCAAGCATTTAAGTCTAGGTATTTCAATTTCTTAAAATATCCAAATAAAAGTCCAAAAATCAATGAAAAGTTTAATTATTTTATTTAAAAATAAGTGTTTATGTAATTTGATAAATTTAGTAAATATTTGTTATTTTTTTCTATGATATATCTATTTTAAGTTATATTATGATTTTTTTAATAAATGTATTTATTAGGGTCTTTACTTTTTACTAATTTTTTCGGATGTTATTTTGTTTGCGATCAACATATGGACATTTTATAAAATCAAGATATTTTTAAAGTGATTAGGAATTATATGATAGTTTAAATTTCTTAAATCTTTTTGTGTACTTATATAAAAATTTTTACTAGTAAAATATTATACTACAAAATGCTTGATTATTCATTAGAAAGAATCAAATTGGAAAGATTTTCCTAAATTTCTGAATAATTGAATTAATATATTGTATTAATAGATATAATAATTTGCTGATTATTATTTTCTTTATTCTAATTTTATATTAATTATATAAAATAATTATATACTTTGGATATTTTTTAAACTACTTGAAAATATATAATATAAAGTTGGACAAGTTCAATAAAATATTGAAATAAATTCAAACTCATTTTAGTATATTTATTAGAAATATTGATATTGAAAAGTTTCAATAATAATGTGTAACGCATTACTGTAGTAGGACTAAATTTGACGTTTAGACGTTCGAATTCTAAATTTCATTTACCGTTTCCTTTGTAAAAAAACTGAATCTATTATGTTTACAAAATTTTCTGTTTATTTATTGCTTTAAATTATAAATATCAAAATAAATTAAAGTGTATTATAAATAATTTTTTAAATCATTCATTTTATTTTTAATATCTAATTTAAAATATTAATATAATTAATAAATCAATTTAATATATATACATATTTTTATAAATTTGCAGGATTAATAGTAATAATTTCGTATTATACAACTTATTAATATAAATATAATTTTCTCATACCTCCTTCATTTCTGGTTCAGTAGCTTTTAACAAATCAGAAAATGCTAAGCATAATTTCCTTGCAGCATCTAAAAGTCTATCTCCAAATGTTCCATCATCTAATAACGCAGCTATCATTCTTACACCTCTTGTCATTTCTGGTAAATTAGTAGTTATAGTTGTGATCGCAGCACCAATAGCAGTATGGTCTATATTATCCAGGGAACCAGATGTTAAAGTAACCACTTCTGCTGTTGCGGCACTCATTGCAGCTATTTGTGATCCAATATTTTGTTTATGTGTATCAATTGTTTCCTCTATCCAACGTAATGAAGCAATATCATCTCCAAGTTCTGGAATACGAGCTTTCGATGATAGCTCTGTTTCTGCGGTTTGGATTACTTCCTGACCAGTCATAATAGTTGAAATTAAAGCACGATTCGGTTCCGTTAACACAGATGTTACTTTCGGTTGTTGTATCTATATTGTAAAGTGAACTATATTAAAATATCTCAGATAATATATAAATATTAAGAATATATTAAATATCAAATTTCCCATTTCATTTGAAAATTATTTTTTAATTAATTTATTAGATGTATACCATATATTTATTGTACAGAATGTTGACTATTTATATAAAAACTTACTATTTAAAAATAAATGATTTAGAATATAATCATGTATTTATTCTTATATATTAAATTATTAATTTACAAGATGTTACAGTTCTTTGATTACTTACCATTGCAGGAGCATGAGCAATATTTACTTGCCCACTTATAGTCGTAAACTGAGTTGTAGCCAAATAACCTGTTCCATATAATCGGGCTCCTGTAAATTTTATTAATTTTAAATATTGGTTTAACACTAAAATTTATAATACAATAAATGCTATTCGAATATTAATAAATGTTTATAAAAAATAATAAAATTTATAAATGTTCAACAAATTTTTACTGTCAGTCAGAGTACATCGGTAATTTTCTACGAATAATATCATGGTAATATGTTGCATGTTTTCTTTGAATAATATGTTATAATATTAACTAAACATTAGCCAGCTTACTGTTGTTTTTTTCGATAAACAAATTGCCCTCTTTTTCTCTTGGTTATTCAAAGATTGAATAATGTCAACCTCCAAATAATAATAGTGTAAATAATAATATAACTTTCAAATTTTGTTAACAGAAACAAGTTCAATATTATTATGTAAGCTTTTTATATTCTTTCAGAAATTCTAGAAAAATGTGATTATGTGATTATCGGCACCGACACTTGAAAATATAATTCTTTTTCTTTCATCGAAAGGTAATTTTACATTGCAATTTATTAACGTGACATTGTTTGAATAGCTTAATATTCATTTTCTTCATAGAACAATATCGAATTAAGTTATTAATATATTACACATAAGTTTTTTTCAATGTAACATAAGTATTTTCTTTTTTATAGAATTAGTATTCATATAAAATTTGCAATTACACAGCGTTAACTTTTGATTTTTTGTTGATAAATGTATCTCTGATTTCCTTAATTCATTATCCAAATTTCAATACATTCTTTTTCTTTGAGTTCATATTAAATGTGATTTAGAATTAAAAGTTAAAATGAAATTGAATAAATTCAAATATTTCTTTTATGTCTAACGAATTGATAATAGTTTTTTTTTATTTATAAATTCATATATAGAGATTATGTGATCCAATTTGAATTAATTAAAAATATAAATATCAGTAAGTTAATAAAAATAATTGAAATACAAATATTTTTGTAATTAGATTGAGTTTAATTATATATATTCTTTATTTCTCATATTTCTATACTTTTACAACGTGAATCCATATTCAGATTTTTCGTTATTTATTTATTTATGATTAATTTTCAATCATGTTTGATTTACAACGGTCTACTAAATCTAATTATGATTATAAATTGAAAAATATTTTATATTAAATGTATACATTGCTATTTTCTGATAAAATGTATATTTTTCAGTTGAAAAATTAAATTTTTCTTTGCTACTTACGAATATTTACGAGGATTCCTGATTTTCTTATGCCTAAATATTTTGAAACATCAATTTTCATTTTATTTTCATGTTTAAATTAAATTATTAGTCAAATTTCATTTCAGTTTATAACTTTTTTAGATATTCAGTTTTATATTTTAATATACCCCTCCCCCCTTTCTCATACAGATACATTTAATTTTTTTTGTAACGATTAAGTTTTTTTTATATTAATTCCTATATTGCTTAAGTATCTTATTTATACAAAATACTAAGCATTAACTTTTAACATTAATTCAATTTTATTCATTTTTGATTTTCGGTTTGTTTGTTACGATTTTATAGGTAAGGCATATTAATAATATAATTTTTATCAACAAAGATGTTGTTGCTTTTTTATATACAATACAATGACAAATAATAACATGTCATTGTAAAAGCTCTAATTTACTATAATTACTTCAGGAGTAGTTAAGCAAAGTAGAATATATTAATAAAAATATATTTTAATTATTGCACATAAAAACATTTCAAGATGGACAATAAAAATCATGTTTCATTTCAAAGTATAATAATTTTTGAACTTGGCATTTTAAAAAATATGCATAATTTTGATATACATCTGAGGCTTGTATTTCGTTAATAAATCATAATTCTGATGAAAAACTACAGTATATACTAAAATTATACATATTAGTACATTATGTTTAATGTGGTAACTAGTATTTTTTATATTTAATGTAATAGTTATGTATGTTATATATGTCTTATTAAAGTCATAATGAATGTAAATAATCAGATTACAAAGCAATAATATCTTACAATTCTATGATTGTGCAAGTTTAAAAAGGAACAAAATATTAAATTAATATGTTTATAACAGATATCGACGAATGATATAAATTGGTCTTTATAATATATTTAGTCACCGATATTCATTAATCTGCTACATTATAGATAATAACACTATAGATATCAAGAAGCACTTTAAATTTTCATATTTGAAGTGCGTTGCAAGAAAATTTTTGACGACGTGTGCAAATAAGAATGTGGTAAGTTTTAGAAGAGATCTTATAACTAACTGATCTGAATTAGTTATACCCTTAATTATGTATAAATCTTTTGTATAGATGAAAGCATTATATGCCTATTCAGTGCCTTATATGTTTACATACTATCTAAAAGTTTACATATAAAAATAAGTAATAAAAGTATAATTATGTTGTAGAATACAAAATCAATTTAAAACTATTGACATTCGGTTTTGACATGTTTTAATAAAAAAATTTTTTAATTACAATAACATATTGTAAACAAACAAATTTTTAAATATTTAAAGTAATATTAATTATACATATCAAATAATTAAATACATACATGCACACACACACATACACACACACACACACACATACACTCTCTAATGAATTTGTTTCCAGCTTATAGATAAAATAAAACTTTTTGTCACATTTATCTTACCATCCGCACCAGCTCTTATTACAGCTGGTATTGCTACAGATACAGACTCAGCACTTCCTTTTCCAATATTTCCAATTTCATGTTGCAGAATAGTTGCTCTGTAAAAAGTTTTTTTTTAATTTTTATAAAATTTGTAAAATATTTGGTCTTAAGTTTATAGTAACGGTATTAATACACTCTTAATACAACTATTACATTTTCAGTAGCGTATAATTATTATACACTTATATAAATGAATAAATTAATTATTAGTAATTATATGCATAAATTATATGAATATATTTATATACATATAATATATATATTTAAAAATTCTAAGAGCAAATTCTAATAAAAGCAAGCCACTTCTGTTAAATTAAACGAATAGTATATATGTATCCGATACATATAGATTTATAAATATTAAATAATATTTTAACGTAAAAATAACTTACTTTAACGGGGAAATACTATCTTCTACCATAGTGGATCCTTCGTCTCCTTCAATGCCAAAATGATCTTTAGCCTTTTGTTTTTTAAGTATTATATCGATGTATCCAGAAATTAATTGTAATATTTGTTCAGCTTCAGTTGTTTGAACACTGTAATACTGGTCTGAGTAATCTCCAAAATCTAATGTAAAAGTATTGGGAGATGCTCCCCACCTTCTCACCGTTGTTAAAGGCCAAGTTTTTAAAATTTCTTTTGTTTTTTCATCAAGTCGCAAAACAGAATCTTTAGTTACTCCTAAAAGACGAGGCACTAATTTATTTTTTCCTTTCATTTTCTCCTTTACAAGGAAAAATGTAACTCCATATGTATTTAATGATCTTGCAGTTTTAGTATAAAGAACTTTAGCATTTAATTCAGATAAACTACAATGCTTTTTATGTTCGAGAAAAATTTTCTTTTCGATACCTTTTATTTTTAGGTATGACTGCGGTAAAAATTCCTTTAAACTGAAAATATAAATTTAATAAAATTGATTGTAATTTATTCTAAAAAACTTATTGCTTATATAAAAATTCTTTTGAATAAATTAAGATATAACTTTTTATTTCTTTAAATCTATTCCATATTAAATATTACATTATTATGTTAACTAGGAATATTTCAAAGTAATTACTTTGGTACCCATATAGTGTTTTGATTAAATTATAATATAAAAAAAATATTTACAACTTATACTACGTCACCGCTTATGCTATTATTAATATTAATAATATTTTTTATATTTATTTTAAGTATAGAAACAGTTATATACTTTACAATTTGAAGTGAAATCATTTTCATAATCGTAAAATTTAATATTAAAAATTAAAAATTCTATATATAAGTTGTATTATTTAATATTATAGTTTATTAATATATAAAATAAATAAAATGTAATCATTTTATAAAACATTTTAAGAATTAAAAACTAGAGAATCAAATAATTTTGGTAAATAGGATGACCGTTATAAAACTCGCCAGTACAAAAAAAATATAATTTATCTTTTATAAAAAGATAGGAAACCGTCAGTTATGAATACGAATAATAGTTATATCGAAAAATGGAGCTCTAAATTAAATATCTGATCAGTGAAATGATATGAAAAAATACGCGTATTTTTTATTAACTAAATCGTTTCACCTGTATGCATATACCGTTTATATTTTGAATAATTCGATTTATTAAAATAATCATAAATGAGTTTTAATGAATCCTCGAATTCATAGTAGTAAAACCAATATATTTCCTTATTTTAAAATATAGGTGCATTACTTAACTATAGATTTTTTTTTGCATGTGTATTTATCTTGGTCGAGTAATCTCTTATTTTTTATATTTATATAATTATTATTTCAACAGTATTGAAAATATGAAATAAAAGAACGATAAATTTACGATACTATTATTGATTAATGCGAAATGAATAAATTTGCTTCTTTTATTTCAATTATGAAAATATTTGAGAATTGGGCAATAAACTTTATTATTTATATCTTATATAAATGATTTCAACTAATTTATTGCACTTAAAAATGAAATTTTACTTTCAAAATCAATTGAACACAAAAAGGATAACACATTTATATATAAAATATTATAATAAACATTATTCTTAATTTACATTAAAATGAAATAAATACATTTTTTTAAATTTGTGTTATACTAAGTTTAAATATAATAAAGAAAATAAAATAAAATTACATTCACATAAGACCTATGAATAAGTTATAATAGTTAAACGTTTTCTTATAAATATTTAATTTATTAAAAAAGTTTTTGTATTTTATACCTTATATACTTACTCTAAAAAACCAGATTTGTGTTTATCTTCTTTATAGTCACCAAATTGTATTTGACATTGTATACCAGCAAAAATACAAGCTTGTTCTTGAATGATTGGGTGTGTACCATCTAGAATAGCATCTCTAGCTTGGACGTAGAGAAGAGATAATTGCACTGGATCTCTACTATCAATATTTTGATCAGAAAAGAAAAATTTTCTTCTCAACAATACAGTGTCATATTCATCTATACCTTGTTCTCTCAATGTTTTACTTGGATCTATCCAATTTACTAAAAATCATAATTAAATTAATCAAAATTTTGCATATTAATTATGCATATATATAATATAAACCATAAGTGTATCCAAAATCATTAATAACATATTGTATCTAAAAATGAAGTAACGAACTTTATATATGTTGTTGTAAGCATTGGCTACTTAATATTCGTAAATTCCTTAATACTTGTATGATCAATTATAAAAATATTGCTATACATTAAGAAAAAAAAATTAATTTTAGATAATAATGTAGTTTTGGATATTTATATAAATAGAAGAGAAAATAAGAACATTACAGTTCATTTTACATTACACTTGCATTAGTGTAAGATTAACAATTAATCAATCTTTTGAAATTATAAAAAAAATGTATAGGATTTGTAATTTGCTAAAAAATGTTGTTTCCGTAGAATACAAATGTTTATGATCTAATTTAAATAAAATGATTATAATATGAGTATGTAAAGAAGTATTTATGTAAATTTTATAAAAAAATTAGTAAAAATATATAAAAATTTCTATTTTTCATTCAGAACACAAATATACATTATGTAATATTAATTAATAAACAATATTGCAAAGTATAAAATTCAGATACTAATAAGATATAAATAATGATAATATATGTATGAGAGAATTGTATAAGTGAATATATTACTTTATTAAGCGTAAAAAGCTTTGAGTGTGAAATATCTTAAACATATCTGTGATATTATATAGAACGATCGATATTATATAATCAAAAAAGTCCTTCTCTCGCAAATATTTATATAAATAATTAAATTTAAGATTTAATGAATCAAATTGTTAAAATTAATTTCAAGAATATTGAGTTAGTCCACCAACCATGACGTTCACATAGAAATTTATATTGATTTTAATAGTATTATAAATTATTTTATATTAAAAATAATCATTATTATTTTAAATGTTTAAAAGGATGAATAATTTTTAATATTGAAAAAAAATTTGCATGCTTTTAGTATTTAGTAATTTGGTGCGTTCTCAAATATTAAATATAAAAATAAAAACTTTATTTTATAAAATATTTTGTATTCATTAATTAAACAGTATCGAAGACAAAAAATTATTAAAAATATCATATATTTTTTACCAACTATCAGACAAATTTAAAAAAATGCAAAGATGTTTTTGAAAGATAATTTACATTAAGTGAATAGTTATTGCTAACTAAAAATTATTTAATTCATTTTCTGTATGTATTAAACATAAACACTATTATAAATAGAGCGTAATTGTAAAAAAATTTATAAATTATAAAGCAATTTGAATTCCAAACTTTCATTTAACTCTCTAAAATACACATAATATTGATTTATATTTTATATAATAAAAATATAATTTAATATTAAACTTAAAATAATATTAATTATTTACCTTCATCGTCAGTTTTTAATTTTTTTCTTAATTGATTCATTTTTGCATCTTTTTCTACCTTTTCTTCTTTTTTTTTCTTTAATGTTAAAGTTCCAAAATTTACTAATTTATTATTTTCATATTCTTCTTCTACTGTTTCGCGAACCAAAGAATACTCATCATGATTTGTAATACCAATTTTTGTGCATATTACTACCATTAAATTTATAACTGGTTGGCTATCATCGACCAATATAGTTTTTAAAGTTCCATCCAATAATTTTACTCTCAGTGTTCTTAGTTTCTTCTTATATTCTAAAAAGTCTCCATTTCTAAGTATGTAATAATCTAAATTTCTAGTTGATTCAAGCCAAACTCCTTTTTTTGCATCTTCATCGGCCAAAAATAAACCATAATCTTTCACTATCAACAAATACCGTATTAAAAAATATCTTTAAAAATAATCAATAAATAATTTTTTTTTTAAGAAAATTATAATTTGTTCATATATTTTTTATTAAAATCTATTTTTAAACTATAATTTTTTTTTAATCTAATGTCTATATTTCTATTATAAAAAATTGTAACAATTATATTATAAAAAACATTAAAGTATAAAAATATTTCCATTGATAAGAATGTAATTATGTTTATATCTGATACATTTAACTTTTAATAAAAAATACAAAAACAGATATTCTATTAAAGAAATAAATTGAAAAAGTTTGTAAAGAAATTATAAAACACTCAGAATCAAATCTAAAGAAAAACATTAATGTTTATTATATAAATCTTTCTTATAAGAGATCTATTATAAGAATTATTTTATTTTTATTATCTATTATTTATTAGAGATATCTATAATTCTTATATAGTCTTATATCTATAATTCTATAATATTCTTAATAGAATTATCTACATTTTAGCTTATATATTTGATCACTAGAAAACAAAAAATGTTTCTTTTTGTTGACTTTCTCTCTGATTCCATAATTCATTGAAAAACTATGTATAATAAGTAAATTGGAAAAAGCAATATTGTATAAATGGTTTACAGTATATAAATCACACTTCTTTATGATTAATACATATCATATACTAGAAATTAAAATGTGCGACGAAGAATGGCGATTATAGCAAAAGATTATTTAACACTTTATTAAGGGTATAATTTAAAAACTTTTCAAAAGCATATAATTGTAGAATTTTAGCATTAATTATGAATGACCTGATATTTGAGTATAAACAAGCAATTCATATTCATTAAAATAATTTTCATATTCAGAAAATTAGAATATTATAGTGACCATAATAAGAGTAATATCTAATAATAATATAAACAATTCCTAACGATAAAACAAAAGTATATAAATAAAGATTTTCTAGTATCATGAAGCATTTAAATTTAACTAGATATTACAGAAAAATAATAATTGCTTTAATTAAAAAAAATTTGAATTTTCAAAATTGTATATTTTATTATAAATTAATATTTTGTAATACACTGAATTTAAATTATATCATTGGAATACTTACTTTGTTCCGTATTACTCACTTCTGTAAGTTTTTCTCGAATCATACGACATCCATCATATACAGATGTATTTGGATCAAATTGCATCATCTTAGTTACATTTTTCTCCGGAATCGAAATCCGCAAAGAAAGTGTTGACATTTTAAATACCAATAAAAAATATTTTTATTTTTTATAATAAAAATCCTGTAATAAGATATTATAATACAATTATTATTAACAAATCGAACTTCTGACCTTAGTTGAAAGGATATAATATTTTAGTTGATTTATATACACAATATATCTTTATTTCATATTATATTTTAACTTAATTAGTTAATAAATATTTTATGGGAATTTTGTTTATTTCTGATTTATATAATTGTATTGACTTAAGAATCGGATAAAGGAAAGGGGCATATATCTTATATGACATGTATTTCATTAGCAACATATAAATTATTTTGTTCATTTCTTATTCATACATTTAATTCGTTTTTTAATATATAGTTAAAGATGAAAAAATGGAAATTATATTAGTCTCAAAACTTGTTTTCATTCTAAGTGTCATTCATAGCGCATATATATGATCAGCATTACTTTACTTGATTTTGTATTCCGACTGTATCAACAATGAAAATTGTACAAAGGAATATTTAATATTTGAAGAGCGAATGGTGTACTAAGTGTAAATTGAATAATACTATAAGGTAGAATAAAAGTTTATGTTTAAATCAATATTATTCTATTTAAGTTCTTTGTAACTGTGGCTTTCTATATTTGAGTTGCATAATTCCCTTATTTTTTATGATAATAAATCAATATTAATTAATTTTTTAAAACGTTAAAGTACCTTGCAATTTATCCAACAATATTTTAAATTTCATGGATTATAAATTTTATAATATTTTTCAATTAATTGCATAAATAGATTTTGAAAAGTTTTTTTTCATGTAATATTAGAATACAAATTGTATTTAAAATTACAAAATATAAATTACGCATAATTATATTAATTATTAAATATTTCTATTTTCATTATATTACCTATATTGTTATTAAAACTAAACAATTCCTCTCAATGTTAGTATTAATAAAGAATAGCGTCAAATTAATTTGTATGTCGCATATTTTAAACTTTTAAATATTGGATTTCAATATAATTTGCTAAATTTTAAATATAAAATTAATCTACTTCTAATTTTCTATAAATGAAAAAAATTGAATGAAGTTTAAATACGTCAAATAAATTTGTATAATTAATTAGTGTAAATATTTATAAAATTAATATTAATAATTATCGAATGATTGAATATTTGAGGATTTATTTAATCGTAAGTAACTTGTTAATAAATATTACTACGAGTAAAAAACATTTAAATGAGAAATGGTCTACTTTACAGAACACATAAAATGACAACAAATTTTTTATCATATAACAAACACGTTATTTGTATGATTTCTTTATTATTAATCAAAACATTACTTATTTTTCAAATTTATTTAAAACAATCTAAGTTCTAGTCTATTTAAAATTATTAATACCATTAAATACATTATCATATTTTTATTGTATAGAATGTGTACGTACACACAAGTTGGCATGTACACCATCTACGAGTAGAAATATTTAATCTATTACAAATAAAATAGTATAAACAATGTGTTAATAATTTTATGAATTTTTATACATATATTTAGATCTATTATCTCTACTAGTAGTCAAATAAATTTAAATCTAAATTTTTTTAGAATCTAGTAATAAATTAAATTTTATTAAGTTGTCTTAATAAACTATATTTTTTTTAATTATAAGATTTAGCAATTTTAAATCGTGACATTTTAATTTACTAGTAAATATTACCTACAGTAATTTTTTAACGTAAGTAACTTTATATTCTATTACTATAATTTAATTATTGATTATTTGAAATACTTGTAAATGTTATAAAACATTAGTTTCTTAAATAATAAAAATTTCATGTAGAATGAAATGTATAAGTTATAAAATGCAGATTTCATTTTTTTACCTATCAAATTTGTATTCAGTGATAACTAAAATTAGTTAAAATACTGAATTTCCATCGCTTTGATGTAAAATAATTTTATGTATTCAAAAAGTATTTAATATTTAATACAAATATTTGTTATTTAATAATAATAATAAAACTTACCAAAATACGTGCATATTACTCAATAAAATTTGAACTTAGTATTTATATTTAATATGTAAAAATTTAATAAATTACAATATAATATAAAATAATAAATTAAAAATATAAATTTTAAATTTATAATTTATAAATTATTTATAAATGGAAGAATTACAATTTTAATATTTATTAAATATAAGTATCCGATTAACTCCTGTATTTTCTTAAAAAGTTTAAATTAGTGTAAAAATAACTTGAAATTTGTTTAAACATGGTAATGTATGTTATCAATAAATAGGATTGAGTAAAACAGTTGAGCGTAGAAGAATCCAACCTCGTCGACTGTTACCAAAGAAGTGAAGCTACATGCGTGTGTATTCTTACGCGCAGCATCCTCGAGAGGAATGTATGAGATCATCCACCCACCACCCCTTCGCAACGTGAAACTCGATTGGCTGTTCTGTTGAAGAATAACAATTATAGTCTACCCTAAAATCCCCACTTCTTCCAACATAATATCCTATATCCTACACTTTTTATGCCATAAGTATTTTGATATTCAGGAATACTAAAGTAACACTTTAAGTGTTGATAAGACTCAAAATATTTTTTTTATCTATGAACTAGTGAGTGAAATGTTTAAATGATGAATATTTTGTATTAAAAGTTATTTAAACATGATATAATAATTCATTATCAAATAAATCTCCAATTTTATTTAATACAAATTATGTAAACCAATAAGAAAAAATATTTTATATTAATTTTATTAAAATAGATCAAATAATATTATTTATGTTGATTATTCGTAACATAAAATTAAACAAAATATTGTATCTCTTCACAATTAAAAAATTATATGAAAAAATTTCATATGTATTAATTTATAATATTTAGTACATTTTCTATTTTTCAATTAAATTCGTCTAAATTATTATTAGTATCATTGATTGCTAACTAAACTATTTTTAGGATTTATTATGATATATGAATAATTATGTCGTAATCATAATTCATTGAAATAGGATAAATATTTTATGATTATGTAAACTTAACAAATTGATTGAATATTATTTGTCAAATATTTTTTTATATTTCGAAATTACCATTATTAATAGTTTTTCAAACATACATATAATATACAATAAATCTTTAAATTATTTAATTTTAAGTTTCACGACAAAGCATTATATGCATATTCCCATTATTATCATAATTTTGAATTCATAAAATATGTTTAATAAAATAATTTAATATATACATTAAATTATTCCTCATACAAAACACAAAAATTATATTATTTTTTATGGAAGTTATATAATTTTTATAAAATATTACTCGAACCATCATCTTTTATTAATAAAAAGATTTATTAAGCTCATATAAAAAATTTGAAATTTAGTCTGTTTTATTAAATTTATATATACTGATTAAAAACTTTTGGCTATAATTTTTAATCAAATATCTCCTCAACTTCTAATAAATAAATTAGCAAATATTTATTATATTATTAAAATATAATTGTAATATAAATATTAATTACAAAGAATATAAAAATGCAATGTAATAAATGTGCCAGCAATACATATTAAATGTAAAGTAACATCTCAATTACTTCATACAAAGTTTTACGAGGAATGTAGTCAATCGTTTCAATGATTTTGAATGTATCAAAAACTGTATGCCACTATATTATAGTTCTTTTTTATAAAGGGTCAGATTTTACGGATTTTATGGTCGGATTTTATGAAATTTACCAGGAAAATTGCATAAATAGTAATTACTTGATGTAACAAAACAGTTTTATTAATTATGTTATCGAAAAATAAATCTACTTTAATGTAATATAGATGTGTGAACCATAGTATACACACAAAAATATTTAATTTCACTATTTTTAATACAATTGAACTATTTTAAGTTTCAAGAAAATTCTTTGTAGAAATGAATAAAAACTTGAAAAATTTGTATTCAATAAATATTTTTATTATTGTAAGTTATTTTACCATAATATTACAGTTGAGGTATTTTTATATTGTTTTTTACTTACATAAACAACAATATTTAACATTTTTTATGGTATTTTCTTATTTTTTATACGCATTTTTTCGTTTATTTGAATGTTTTTAGAATTTAACTTTATATATTTATTATAAAGTTGTAAATAGTTTCCAATTAACTTAATTTTTAGTACCATATTAGGTAGTTACGATATTTAAAAGATGATTTTCAATCATTCATAAAAATGTTTTAAAAAATTGAAAATTTTATTAAAATCAACTTCGATCAACTAACAATTTCTTTTAGAAAATAGACAATTGCACACATCTATTTGAATAAATATTTTAATTTTAATTTTTTAAAAGAAATAATTTTCTTACTGTTGAACCTTCGGATAATTATTTTAATAGTTTTATATAAAATTAAAATCGAATAATAATGTAATTTTTATTTTAACTTTATTATTTATTATTTATTATTATTTTTATTTTTATTTATACTTTATTATTATTAATTAAAAAATAATAATAAATTTTTAAGTAATCAAAACAAGTTTTTCATCATTATTAAAATGAATTAAAATGAATTTTAAACCAATAAATTTTTAAATTCTTTACTACATGTGCATGTAATTTAGGAAATATATATTTATCATAAATTTTTGTAGGCGATCAAAGTTTCAATGATACTTTTTTCAAACCGACAAAGTAAGAATATCTATAGAAAAATAATTTATTACTATTCAACGTTATAAGTATGCAATATTTTCGAATTTTTCTTTTATATATTCTATTGCACAAATATAGTATACATAAAAATAAATGAGATTTCCGTATAGTGTTGCATATTTCGAATAAATCCCATTTAATATAAGTAAAATTGAAATGTAATTTACCTACGTGTCTAGTAGGCCCAAACGTCTAAATTTCCATTTGATAGGCTTTTTACGCTTTTATTTCTGTATCTATTATGCAATATTTAACATATTTACTATAACAGAAGTTTATTTTTTATATAAGCCGCGAAAATTTAAACTACCAAACATTAAAAACTAATTTTTTAAGCGAAAATGAAAAATAATTATATAATTAGAATGTTTAACCACTACAAATGCTATAGATTCGAACATTGTACATATAATATAGTTTTATTTGAATTTAGAAATTATTTAACAATAAATATATATAATACCATAATAGTTTTGTTGATCAGTAAAGAAAAATATAATTTTAAAGGTTAATGTTGAAATTTACATTATTATTTATTAAACAATTATATTTTAACGAATTCTTTTTAATGTTATGTTATGTACAAAATATTAAAAAAAATATATATTAATATTGATGAAGTATTAATTAATTTTCATTTTATTATATATTCTAATATAATTGTTTCATATTTGAATTAAAATATAATACAAATCTCTATAAATAAAAATATAAATTAGATATAAAGTATATTCTACAAATAAATGTTTATATTAATAGTTTAATAATTTTTTTCATTATTTATTTCGAATAACTATAATTTACATGAATTAATAAATTATTCATTAAAATTCAGAACTTAATAAAATTATGAATGTTACTAATTTCAAATTTTTTGATAAGCCAGGTTGAAATTCAAATATTAAATATATAATAATTTGAGTGAAAATAATATATTTATAGTAATACTTTATAAATTTTATATTGCAAACCATAAATTTAAATGTTAGAAATTATAAAATAGCCTTACATAAATATTCAACTATTAAACAATTTATTGAAGTAGAGTAGTATCCGAGTACAAGGGAAGTAAAAGGGGATGAGGTTGGCGACACGATGACGGGCGCCAAGGGGTGGCGCCACGACACTTTGGCGCCTTTGATACAAAGACGTAATATACGGACTGATTCTAGAAAAAGTGGAAATATCCTTCAAAGCAATGGATTGTTTAAAATTAACATTATGCATTATTAATTATTTATATTTTTAAATAGATATTCTTTATTTTAAAATACAAATTTTTCAAATTTTTGCAGAAGATCTATTTAATTTCTGATTTATTATATTATCTTTATTGATCGATTATTTCATGTAAATAAAATTCAATTTATAAAGTAACGTTATAATTTATTATTCATAATTAATAATTAAGTTTCCGATATAAGTGAACTAATATTATTTTAATACGCAATGAACGAAGACGAATCATGATACAAAATATTATTCAACTATAAATGGAAATATTAATACAATTTTTTTATTCATTTAATTTCAATCAGTTCAAAATGTAAAACTAATCAGCGAGTTTAATATAATATTTAATAAAGACACTAGTTTTTAAATTATATAAATTCATAACTTAGATAATTACATCAACATTTTCATAAAATTTAATTGTAAGAAAATTTTATGGGTAAAATCATTATTCTAAAAAAACTAATGATACTATAAAAAAATAAGTATAAATATTTATTAATTTTAAATAATATACTAATTTAAAATTAACTTAAAATAATAAATTTACACTCATTTTTATACTTACAATGTAAATATATCTATTTATAAATTGGATATTAAATTGGATGTATAAAATTGGAAGCAATACATTAATAATTGAAATATATAAATTATAAAATATGATTTGTAAAATAAACAAAAATATTATTTAAATAATTTTTCATTTTGTACAAATAAAGTTTATACATTTTATAACATTTTATATTTGACATAATATATTTTTAATAAAAATAAGACATAGTATATTCAACCTTTAATTATTATTAATATTTAATTAAAAATTAATATTAACAATCTAATTGTAAATTGTACAAGAATTTAATAATATATTAACATGCATTTCAATCTATACATTACAGATAAACTTTTAATGAAGACTAATACATCTAAAAATAAGCTTTCAATAATATTTTGTGTGATGACTAAAAATCGAAAAATTAAGTGTATTTTTATTCACCTACTTGGTTTCATTCCTCATACCATCTTATTAATGTCAGAGATATTAGTTCATAAATCTATATATGGTGTAATATTTCATACAAATATTAGTACAAGCTCTTATTCAGATATTAATTTTTTTAAATTTTAAGTATGCAATATAGAATTTATTTAAAATTTAATTTATTTAATTTATTTAAAATTTACTATTTTAGTAAGGTTTTAAATATTTGTTTCGTACATAAATGTTAAAACTAATAATTACGCTTGTATATAATTGTACTAGGACAATCTTTTACAACTCACAAACATTTTACAAATAAAATATTATATACAATATTCTTTTTAATAAAAACTGATAAATTTATTAAAATTCGATGGATATTTCCAAATAATAAATTTTAATAAAATTTTGTAATTTCTAATATATATCAAGTGGAAAATGTATTACAAAGATGAAATACGATAATTTAATGATTATACTATCTAAAGTTATATAATTAATTAATTTAGATAA